AAATTCGCGTCTCCCAAACTAAAGCTCGCAGGAAATCGAGTCTTTTACCACCTTTAGTGGACACTTGGTCCAATAGACGGGGAAAGTTTCACAAAAATCCATCATTAACCTGATTTTTGTCGCCTTTGCAAATGTGACTCATAAAATTGATGTTGTAAGTCAGTTGCGCTCGCTTACTTAAAAATTCGCGTCTCCAACACTAAAACACACAGGAAATCGAGATTTTTACCACCTTTAGTGGATGCTTGGCCCGATAGATGTGAAAAGTTTCACAAAAATCCATCTTGAGCTTGATTTTTCTTGGCTTTGCAAATGTGACTCACAAAAGTGATGTTGTAAGTCAATTGCGCTCGCTTACTTAAAAATTCGCGTTTCCTAAACTAAAACATGCATCAAGTTGAGTCTGCTACCACTTTTAGTGGACACTTGGTGCGATAGACGGGGAAAGTTTCACAAAAATCCATCATTAAGCTGAGTTTTGTCGCCTTTACAAATGTGACTCATAAAATTGATGTTGTAAGTCAGTTGCGCTCGCTTACTTAAAAATTCGCAGTTCCCAAACTAAAACGCGCAGAAAGTTGAGTCTGTTACCACCTTTAGTGGACGCTTGGTCCGATAGACGGGTAAAGTTTCACAAATATCCATCATGAACATGATTTTTATCGGATTTGCAAATGTGACTCAAAATTGATGTTCTAAGTCAGTTGCGCTCGTTTACTTAAAAATTCGCACCTCCCAAACTGAAGCTCGCAGGAAATCGAGTCTTTTACCACCTTTAGTGGACACTGGGCCCAATAGACCTGCAAAGTTTCACAAAAATGCATCGTTAACCTGATTTTTCGCGGCTTTGCAAATGTGACTGACAAAAGTGATGTTGTAAGTCAGTTGCGCTCGCTTACTTAAAAAGTCGCACCTCCCAAACTAAAACGCGCAGGAAGTTGAGTATGTTACCACCTTTAGTGGACACTTGGCCCGATAGACGGGGAAAGTTTCACAAAAATCCATCCTGAACCTGATTTTTGTCGGCTTTGCAAATGTGACTCACAAAATAAAAAAAACCCTTTTGTTGATCTTAAGTGCTCAAAGTGATTGTTTAATAGTACGCAAATTTCCACTCATTTTTGACCGATTGCACAATTGAAAAGCTTCTAAGAGCTTCTGCAGCTCAGTCCCCAACGCCCTCAAGTCGATATCTTTGTCCATTTGCAACCAGTCGAAATCGCCAGACCTTAAAGTAAGTTTTAAACTGATTAGCCAAAAGCGTGAACTTCAGACAAACATTTATGGAACTAATCCGACATTAAGCAGGGATTCGTTTCGTGAAGCCAGTGCTCTTTTCTACAACTAAAACTGGTTCGGATTGGTGATGAACTTTAGCGCATCGTGAAAGTTTACATTCAAACTCCGGGTCCCAGACGAATCACTTTAAGTTGCTGGCGGTTGGATAAGGACAATTTTAACGACTGTATTAGAAGAGTTTTTGTGTTAGTTTGAAGGGTTTCCAGGGCAGTTCAGCCAAAAATCAGTTGATTTTAAACGCGAAAAACTTCCAGGTACAATGGATTTGGTAGAGTCGAGAGCTCCTACTATGATCTCTGGGCTGAGTACTACTTGAAGTTCTTTGATGCCTATCTGGAAAACAACGTCACATTTTGGGGCGTGACCACGCAAAACGAACCTGTAGATGGGCTGTTTGGTACCAGTGTACCGAATAATGGCTTCACTTCATCTGAAATGGTAAGGGTATAGCTGTGTCTTAAAAGCTGGAAAACTTGCATCGTCTGTTTGTGAAAACAGAATATTTATGCACCAGAAAAATTTAAAAAATCCGAAAATCCTCAAACCAAACCTGAAATTTCCGTTGTATTAGGCTCAATACATTTTGTACATTTACAGGTAAACTGGATTAAAAACTCATTTGGACCGACAATTCGCAACTCCAGTTACAGCGATTTGAAAATCATGGTGCATGATGACCAGCGGCTTTTATTGCCACTCTTAAAATACGTATGTTTCAGTCTTAGTCTATTTAATTATTTGAAAATTCGCACTTTTTCCAGCAAGTAATCAGTGATAGCGACGTACTGGCATATGCTGATGGCATAGCTGTCCATTGGTACACAGACTTTATCACTTCAGCGTCGCTGTTAGACTTTGCTTCAAGTGACGATAAGGATTTGTTCCGTTTGGGCACTGAAGCATGCATAGGTAGCAATCAATCAATTAGTCAATCAATCAATCAATGGATCAACTTATCTTCGGCTACATTTATTTTTCAGACCCGACTACTGACCTCGGAGTAACTATTGATTTGGGTAGCTGGGCCCGAGGGGAGCGATACTTTAAAAGTATTATCGAGGTAAACGTGTTTAACTTCTTTAATTTTACGTGCTTTTATTTGCCCGTTTTCTTGTTCTGTATTAATTGCACTAATTGTTTTATTGCTATTCGATCTGGGCGTTACAGATGCATTTATTGATTACTCTCCGCTGTTTTCTGGGCTTTAATTCGTCGAAAGTGTGTTTAATCGGAAAGGCTCAGAAGCTTTGGATGAAAGTACCTGAACGACTAGTAAAACATCGGTTTTCGGCTTTTCTCGACTTTATCAGCGGCTCAATTTATTCGGCAATTTAAGCTGTTTTGTGCCGGCGCTCGTTGACTGTGTTTTAAATTGTTTTACTACTTGGATTATTCCTTTTCCCATTTTAGGTTTCTTTCTCAGCTTGATTGATCTTTCGAGCCTTCATTTTTCGCTTTTTAGTTAAACGTGGGGGGTTTGTACACTTTTGTGCATTCACATAGTTGGGCAAATAAAGTGAGTAGTTTGTCAAAAA